TTCCCCTTTTTGGGCTGAGTTAGATGCAAACTGAACTGAGTCGCGATTCCGCATTTTGGCACAGTCCACGTGTGCGCTCTGTGCAGATGAAGGCTCTGTAGATGAATAGAACCCGCCCTTTCGTTTCCTTTCCTGAGATTTTCAATCTGTGCAATTCCTACATAGCTATAGCTGAAGTAGGAGCCCCGTTTCGCCTTTTCCCCCCGATCACTGACGGAAGGCGGGGGATCTTCCCATACGGGGCACTAACTACCGAGGAAGCTAATTTGTAGCATTCCTTAACGTTGTTGCGAGTGAGATCAAAGGAGTGGATAGGTGCCGCAGTCATCCGAGCAATCATCCCAGCAGTCGTGTGAGCAATTGTGCATGCCACGAATACCCCCATGAGCAGGGCGAATGGACACCGGCAACCTCCACAGAACGAAGCCTTTAGTTTTCTCCCATTCTTGCTCATGTGGCAGGATGCACACTCTGCATGGGATAATTAAAACATACCTTGTTAAAAATAAATTCTCTCTTCCACTTGCACCCCTACTTGTGAGCCTTTCCTTTTTTTCCAAAAAATGACAGACATCACAATTGGGGTTCTGTCTCTCCAGGGGGACTTCCAGCCGCACATAAATCATTTCCATAAATTGGAACATCCACGGTTGAAAGTTATACAAGTACGGACTGATGAGCGTGTCTGCGTCTGTATATGCATGCCTGCGTCTATATGTGCGTGCTTCCGTGTGTATGGGGGCGTTGCACATATTGATAAGCACCCTCCCCCACAGATCTCTACCTACACACGTCGATGCACCATTTGGGTTCCTCTTAATAAGGGCACACATACGAAGGTAGAAGCAGCCGCTATCCATTGCACACATTCTCCTTTTCTCCTTTTTGCATCTTCTGCAAGGTTCGAAATAAAGAGGACCTCAGCACCTGTGACGGTCTGGTGATACCTGGCGGAGAGTCCACCACGTTGAGAAAGTGTTTCTCTTACGATAACGATACCTTATACAACGTAAGGATGGGAAACTTGCGCGGAATGTGCATATGGTTGATGGCCTTAAACGGTGTGTGTGCACCTTCGCGTTTAGGGAGTTCATCCCAGCCGGTTTTTTACAATTCGTGTCACCTTCTTTTTTCTCCGCATGTAACAGGCCTTAAAGGAATTCATTCACGTCAAGAAGAGACCTGTATGGGGGACCTGTGCGGGTAAGGGAGAGTAACAACGGAGCAAGTAGAGCGGCGATGTATCCATCAGCAGATACATATATACATAATGCATCACCACAAGGGTATAAGTTCGATCTGTGCGCCATTCCACACCCATTCAGGCTGCATCCTCCTCTCGAACAACGTGGAGAACAATGAGACGCAGAGCCAAGCATACGGGAAGAAATTCTCCCTGGGGGGACTGGACATCACCATAAGCCGCAACTACTACGGCTCCCAGGTGAAAGGAGAAAAAAAAAGAAGCAGCAAAGCAGCAAAGGAGAAAACAATCATATATGGTCGCCTATTCATTTCAGCCCGTCACCTACTTCACCACCTTAAAACTGCCCCCTTTCCCTGCTTCACACAATTTTTATATCCACAGAACGACAGCTTCATATGCTCGCTGAATGTACACTCAGAAAGCAGTGCCTTCAAGAAGAATTTGCGCGGAGCCTGCATACGAGCCCCGTATATACGGGAAATAAACTCGGACCAGGTAGTACACCTCTATTAAGGCCCTACGTGGGTTTATATACGGATGATCACACGTAAACATGGCTGTACATGCGCCTATGCTACTAGTCCCCCTTTTAACCTTCACGTTATTGCCACCACCTCCACCCCCTTCCTCTTTGCAGGTTCACACACTCGCGACATTTTCGCACGAAACCTTCGGCTCCAATATAATAGGAGGTAAAGAGCTACATAGCCACGCGAATATTCCAACGGAGGTGTTTTTTGTGCGACCTGGAAGCATATCGCGAGAATATGTTATTCGCTTGCGACGATATAATGCATGCTGACCGTCCACCTCACTGCTCCCCCTCCTCTTTTTTTTTCTCCTTTTATCCCCTTCTAAGCTGTCGAACAAAACAACTGCTTGGGGATGGTTTTCCACCCAGAGCTAATGCCGTACAATTCCTTTCATCAGTATTTTTACGAAAAGGTGAGAAATAGTAAAAAGTGAGGGCAAATAGGAGTCTATGTGTGGACAAGAGTAGGAACTTGGCTTGGGAACCACAAAGGGAAGTGCTTCCCCCCATATATGTATATATATCGTTGTGTGCATTTACAGACAATGCTTAGCCATCCGTTAAATTAACCGTTTAAGATGTGCGAATAGAAACGGGATCTTTACTGCACCTTTTTTTTTCTTTTCTGCGTTGAACTCAAATGATCAACAGGGTTCTGCAATGCTGCAGCGTTGTTGTTCCCCCACGCTTATCGAACGAGTGTGTGGTTAGGATGGCTTGGGAAAAATGCCCAAGTACGTGCCCACTCTGCTGCAGTTGGTGGGACCATTCAATGGACTTATCAATTTTTTGCGTTTACCACACGTTTCCAAATGATGAACACGCCGCTCCGCCTGCCCCCAGTGTTTTACAGCTAAGAGGACGACCCCCCTGTTGTTTTTTGCTTTCCTTTACATTTCCCTTTCGTGATGCTTACCTTTCTTTATACGATTCCATTTTATGCTTCATTCTTTTTTTCTTCGACAAAGTTGAACACCTCTCAACTGAAGCAACCGCATTTTTGCAAAAAGTTGCGAATGGAAATTTCTTATGTTACTAGCCAAAAGGAAAAAAAAAAAAAAAATATCTTTTTACCTACACTGTTCATATAAAAAAGAGCTTCTCTCCGTTTTTCCCCTCCCGGTTGGTGTAAAAAAAAAAGAAACTGGGCAAGGGCAAATTTGGGCACGCGTGAAAGGAAACTCTCAAGAAGGCGTTTCCAAGCAAACCGTCCCTATTCAGACGCGTCCTAGCGGGAACATCCAAACGGACACTTCGAAGTGGAAAATTGCGCATTTTTTGCTAACCTATCAGATGCCACGCCTACGTGTAACCGCACATTCGTGACGTAACACACGTATCAGTTCGTGTTGATCGCTACGAGTGGCGGAAAAATGACGCTTAAAAGGCTAAACAGGCGCAGCAATGTACAGTACGGTACTTTGCTATACAATAGTGTACTGTACACTGCTGCGCATTTACTATGGCGCCATTTTGGAATCACCATGCTGTTTCACCCTACCCTTGCTTTCTATACATGTACATTCTCTTCACTGTTAATATACTTTTTTCTTTTTTTTTTTTTTCCATCCAGTGCGATATTACGTTAAGAAATTCCCCTTTTACTCCACGAATGGGAAGATGAACGGCCAAACGTGAAAAATTTGAAAAATGTGAAAAATTTGAAAAATGTGAAAAATTTGAAAAATGTGAAAAATGTGAGAAACGCGAAAAATGTGAAAAATGTGAAAAATATGAACAATGTGAAGAACGCAAAAAATGTGCAAAATTCGAAAAATGTGAAAAAAACTAACCACCTCTGTTTTGCCTGTTTTTGCGTCGACGTGTTAAACGCGGCCGAACTGGATTTGTAACTGGGTTAATTCACCTGTGCTTTGCAAAAACGAAAACTTTACGATCACAAATATGCTCTTTAAAATTTGAACTATTGCGTACATGCCCCATCGCAAGGCATGCATATATACTCTTTTTAATTTTTAAGTTATCATTTCTGTGGCATGTTTCGTGTTGATGCGATGTACACATAAGTAGTACATGCTGACGTACGAAGATACATGAACCCGCTATGTGTCATCTTTGCAGAATTAACGAATAGCCGTACGTTTTAAAATACTCGCACGATTGCTTTTCCTACACACATGCTTATGCTGCGTGGGGGGGACGCTTATCTTTGCGCACGTTTCAGTTAATACGCTATCGGCAGCACGTTATCGCCGTCACGTTATCGCTAGCCCGTTTTAATTAACACGTGTACGCGCTGGCATATAGGCCTATTCTCATTTGCTTTCACATGCCCCCCTTTTTAACGGTGTAAAAACAAACAGAGGAGAAACTTGTCAATATAGCAGTTTTGTTCGCGCCAGGAATACCCACGTGTAGCGGTGAAGAGGGGTGTACTGCATAAAGATCTGGCTTCACATCTCTTAAAGTGTCAAGTTATATCCACGAAGGAGCGGCCATGCACCAAGTCTTTAATTTAGACTTCGAGTGCGAAGCTGTGGAGGGACAACCTTTTAAATCGAGGCTCCGCACGAGCAGTAGGAAATAGAGAAAAATCCCGCAGTCATTTTTTTAAATAGCGCCACTGATATTTGCAGGGGCCCATACTTCTCTGCACACATGGCGAAACCGCTGTAGAGGAGGCCTTAATGTTACTTCGAGTGGTTACATCTTGTCTGCACATGCTTCACCGAAGTTCACTTTTATACACGTCCGATGCACGATTGTCCTTTTGTGGCTGCCCCCCACACAAAGACGCCTGAGTACGCCCTTTTTATGCCCCCCAAACTGGATTCGCAAAAAAGGGGAATCTCTAAGAACCAGGAGAAGCAGAACCAAGCGCTGCACCAAAACCAACCGTTGCTTCCGTAAGAGAAGGTAAAGACAAATAAAGTGACCGTGACAAGATGAAATGAAAGAGAAAAAAACGAATTACAGAAGTGAGTCCATATTCTCCGCCAACAGGAACCCCTTTGAGGTACTGGAGACCATAGACGATGAAAAGGAAGCAAAGAGGAGTGCAAACTTTTTTAATAACAATAAAAATATTCTACTAAATTTGTTCGCCAATCCGAATAGTAATAACCATGTGGATAGCATTCTCTTGCAGAAAAGACGTCACCTTAACCGTGGCACGAATGCGAAGAAAAAAGAATGTAAGAAGATGGTGGACAAGAAGGAGGAGACAAGCAAATCGGAACCAAGCAAATCGGAACCAAGCAAGGGGGATGTTAAGACTGTAAGGAATCGCTCCGTCTGTGCGAACAAAAAATGGATTCAGAATTTCTGTTGGTTCTGTTCCCTTCACCTCTTGGATGAAGTTCTAGAAAAGGAAATATATAAAGAAAAAATACATCCACACGTTTACGATTTAATTTATGATGAGAATACCTACTTCGACACGAGCTCCGTGATGAGTGTGCCATACGAGTTTGCTCGTTTTATGCTGACTCAGCTGGACAGCAACATCCTACATGATATTAAGATCAATAATATTATTAAGGAGGAGAAGTACCTATTTAAAAAGTTTTGTAGAAAGTATAACTACAGGAAAAGATATAGGAAGGTTTGTAGTGGTCCCGGTTCAGGGAGGCCCCTCTCTAGCAATGGTGGCAACGGTAGGAGCCGTAGTAGCCGCAGTGGCGGCAGTTGTGGCAGCGGAGGCAGTGCCTACAGTGACTACAGTAGAGACAGTAGCCGGAGCAGTGGCAGCGTGAAGAGCGACCACAGCTTGGTTTACCGCAGCAGGATGATGAACACTCGTTACAGCAACTATTTGAACCTACGAAAGGAGCTCTTTAACAGTGATAGGGATGGTGGGAATGTCTTGGATGGCGTGAATCGCCTGAATTGCAGGAATCGCCTCGGGGGTAGCTCCCAGAATGTAGCCAAACTCTTCTACAACAGCAATGACTTGGATAACTGTGACAGCACGGGCCTCTTTTACTGCAGGAAGGAAGCACTGCCCGATGAGGTGAGCAGCAACAATAACTCTTGTGACACCCTCTCCTTCGACGGTGAAGGGAGGAGCAGGAGAGAGACAGAAAAACCTTCCCGATTGACAAACGTTTGGGAGGCGCTGAATGGTAAGGGTGGTGAACAGATCAGCCCTTCCCTCAGCAACAGCAGCAGTGTCCGAGTTGCGCTCAGTTACAGCCAGGGCAGGCACAGAAAGAAGCTGAGCGAGTCGAACGCGTCGTCCCAAAGCGTTTGGAAGAGTCTAATGGGACGAAGTGGAAGAAGTAATGGAAGCGATCGGAATGGCCGCAGCGGTACCGACTTCAGTGTAGGACGGATCGCGACGGGGGAGAGGAAGGAGAAGAAGAAGGAAAGATTAGTGAGTACGAGAGAGCTGCGCAGGCGCCGTTTCGCCAGGAGGGGCGTGCGTAATAATGTGGACGTGAAGGGTGACTCCCTGTTCGAGCGTTTATTGAAGAGAAGCAACTCGTTCAGTATACATCGCCTGGAACACGGGGGAGAGGCTACCGGGGGAGATATCCCCCCTGAGGAGGAGCGGAAGGATCGCTTCAGCAGCCGAAGCCATAGGATCTACAACAAATACAAGCACAACCTGAACTACATAAAACAGTTCTACTACATAGACGAAACGAAGAAGAAGCCTTTCCCGCTGTGTCTGTACAATATTATCAAATCGTACGGGACGATTAAGCAGTGCTCGCGGTGCTATTGCTTCTTTAACTGCATCAGTTGCCATTGCCTGGAGTGTAAGAGGAAGTCAAACCTGTCGTTGAAGAATCCCCACTACATTATATTTCAACACGGATTAACAGCTAGTGTGCACGATTTTCAAAATATAGTGAATCCGCTCTTGACGAAGCACCCCCATTTGTTCATATACATAACGTACAGCAATCAAAGCCATACCTTCGAAGGGGTGGATGTCGGCACGGAGAGAATATGCACCGAACTCAATTGCCTCTTTAAAATCATTAATGACAAGATCAACGTGTCTATGATTGGACACTCCCTCGGAGGAATTCTAAACAGATCTGTTCTCATAAATCTCTACAGAAAGAAGGTATTTAAAAATAAGAAACTGATTAATTTTATTACTTTTGCATGTCCTCATATTGGCGTCCACGAGAATATGGCCATCATCAAACTTTTTTCGAGTTACCTCGGAGCCCACACCATTGATGACCTAAACAATAAGACTCCCTTGTTGCTAAAGATCGCTAGTGTAGAGAGTATTAACATTTTGAAAAAATTCGAAAATATCATTTTTTATGGCAATGCTCAATCGGATTGGCTAGTCGGCATCCGCACGTCTCTCATTTTACCCTACACTCTTTTTAACGAGGAGCTTCTTATGTTTATCATAGAGCAATCGAGAAACGTGCCGGAGATTCCCATCAACATTTTCTCCGTGGTCCATCTCTACATGAGGAAGAAGAAACTCCTCTTCTTTTACTTCTATCAAGATTTGAACAACCCCAATTATCTGATGAACAGGCGCAAGTATCAGAACCGGTTCCTGGACCAGATGCTGCAGACAATTATTTCCTCGCGCAAGTTGCTCTCCTGCTCGGGGAGGAAGAAAATGAACGCTCTTATGAACTACGGCGGGGGATCGATTGCCAAGGACGACGGGAAAAAGGGGAAGGTGAAGAGGAAGAACAAGTCTCCCTGTGGGGGGAGCGCCGTTGAAGGCAATGTATGTGAGGAGGGCAAACTTGCCGGTAATGTACGTGGGGATAGCCCCTTTGGCGGAAACGTATATGGGGGCGACGCCAGCTCGTCCCAGTCCCGGGACGGGTACTCTAAGAGAGAAGACAGCCGCGCGTGCGAGGAGGAAACTTGCTGCAATGCCCCTGTGCAGATGAACAGAAGGGGGGGTTCCATCCACACGGACGCCGAAGCACCCGTGCTGCGCAGCACCATGGACAAGCCATACATGTCAGACGAAGTAAACGTGCAGAGGCTTCCCATTCATTTTAGGAAGAACATCAGTACAGTAGAGACGAACCAGAGAGCACTTAGGGACATGTACCACTCCTGCGATAAGTTATCCCCGATGAATGTTCTCACAATCGGCACGAATGAAGGTCGTCCCCCCCAGAAGGATAAGAAGGGATCCCTTTTTAAGTCGCACACCTATGAGGACATCCACGTGGAGAGGACTAAGAGGAGGGAAGCCACGTCCGAGATGGTGAACAGGGAAAAGGGGAAAGCAGGTCCAGACGCCAATGCAAACAGGAACGTGGACGTGAACTTAATTACCAACACCCAGTGCACAGTCAACAAGACAAACAAAATGAGCTACTATGATAAGTATCTGTGCATTCCAGATAACTACAAACTTGTGAGAAACTCCATCGTCAAGCAGAGTCTCCGGGGCATGTACAGCGATGAGAAGATTAAGAGCTTTCAGAGTTGCTATGTGGAGCGGTCATCTCCAGAGGGTGGAACCGCCCTGCAAAGGAATCGTCACACGATCGATCGCTCCAAGAGCAGTGGCCCCGAGAAGGGAAGCTCCATCCCCTTCGAAGAACCCCCCCACAGTGCAAACCAAAGTGACACCCAGGAGAGCAGCAACAAGAAGAAGTTTGGTGACTACAAGAACTTTGAGAAAATTTTCTTCGATTGTCTCAAAAGGAAGATTATAAATGACATAAAAACGTTGGACCATAATTTGAAGAGGAAAAAGAAAAAAACAGACGTGGCTCCGACTAAAAGCTTTTCCTTGCAGAACACGATAAACACACTGAAGAACTATTCCCTGTTCTACTTGAAGAATGGCACTGAGAGGGGCGCTGTTCAGGGGAGTACTCTACAGATGAATACTCTTGAGAGGAGCGGCTTGGATGGGCGTGGCCTGCAGAGCAACCGTCGAAACTACCAGCCCATCTCCGAGACCCCCCTTAGCATCGTGCCCGATCACAGCAGCTCCCTTGCGGAGGCCCCAGAGCCGGTGCACAATGTGAAGAGCGAATCCTGCTTTGGAGAAACCAAAAAGAAATCAAATGCGCCATACTCCAATCAATCAAACAAGAAAAAGGAAAAAAACATGCTCCAGCTGTGCGAAGCTAAGGGTGAAGGATATGATTACATAAGTGAGTTTTTTTACACGACGTCTGAGGATAATGAGGAAGACGACGCGAACGATGAGTCGTCTGGTGATGAGAAGTCACCTGAGCAGTCACATGAGTACGTGCAGCAGGAGGAGTGCAGCGAGAATCCCAAGAACAGCATCTCCACTGCCATTGGGGCGAAGAAGAAGTGGAAAGGAACGACGCTGCTAAAAGGAATTACAAAAGACGACAAGAAGAAATACAAGCAGATCCTTTTTCATATCTACACCATTTCGAGTGAAGAGCTCATTGAAAAGTTCTGTAAAAATCCCGAACTCCTCTACTATGAGGTTTTGTTTTACTGTCTAAACCAGCTGCCCATCCAGCGCTACTCGATTTCGCTCCCCTTGTATTCCAATGCGCACGTGCAGATCATCGCACATCCACGCGTCTGTTCGGAGGAGTCCGCCGCGGTGAAGCACTTCATGGAGCATTTGATTCTCTGACCAGTCCTTTTTTTGTCCGCGGGGGTGTGTGTCCACTGGGCGGGGTGCAGCTCTCAGCGCCAACAGAAGTGCCAACAGAAGTGGTAACCGAAGTGGCAACACTGAGGTCCGGTGTACCCCCTTCATAGCTATCCGGTGTGCAGTTTTGTTGTCCAGCACACACCCTTTTCTGTATCCCCTCCGAGGACGCAGAACCCTCCACTTTGATAATCGCGTCTTTTTTTCTTTTTCATAATCTTTTTGAACGTCGCACTTGTGTGGCGAAAATTTTGAACCCCCCCTTGATAGTTGCGTTTTTGTCACCCCCTCATCACCTTTTCGTCACATTTCTGTCACCTTATTGTCACCCTCTTCCTCCCTTGTTACTCTTTTTAATTTTGGTGCCCTCTGTAGTGCACGCACTGATGCATATACCGACGACGCTGTCACGGACGAATCGACACACGTCGGCCGAGCATGCGTTAAAGTCTCCACGAGGTGAGCACGGCACACGGCACCATGTAATGTTTGCACTTCACTGTGTTGTACTGTTTCATATTGTCATATGACGTCTGCTCACCTGCAAGCAAGAACGATGGGTTAGACGCATGCCGCTGCTGTGTCCCCCACGCGTAACTTCGTAGCCGTGTACATTTGTCGTTTTGCCTGTTGTTTATCTGTCCCCCCGTTTTAAATGACTTAGCGTTTGTGTTTGTGTTTGTGTTTGACTGTTTGTGTGATTTCCTTTTTGCGATTTCCATTTTGTGTTTTTTTTCTTTTTCTTTTTTCTTTTTTTTTGCCACGTTAACATTAGCCCATTTCACCCTTTCCCCCTCGTTTTTCTGACACGTCTGCCTCCCCGCAAGCTATTTTAAGGTTTGACCATTTCTGCCTACGCACTTTTGGCCCACGCGTTCTGTTCTGTTTCTACACGGTTTGCACAAGGCACTTTTAATTCTCTGATTTGAGAGGTTTGCTCGCTGGTGTATGCGCGCCCAAAGGTGCCCCCTTCAAGTTTACCCTCCCCAGGCTCCTTCTGCATCATGCAGCCGTACCATCGTGGGGAAAAAAATTGCGCAGGCCGTCTTCGGTGAGTGGACACACGTTACAGATAAGTGTAAGAATATACATATGAACCTGTGTAAACGGATACATATGCTCTTATGCGTGTGTGCGCCCAATGCACTCCGCTGCACCGCGCGGACAATCTTGGCATTTTTTTTGAAAGAAGGAAAACAAATTGGCAACACCGCGCGCATACAGATTTTTACCTCCCCAGAATGTTTCTAATTCTTTCGTCTGTATAAATATTACGGAAAGGAAAAAAAAAAAAAAATAGCAATTCTTCTGTCCTGTACCTGTACATGCGTGTGTAAAGATATCGCCGTTTTTGCAGATGTGTCACAGTGAACCAGAAGAAAAAAAAAAAAAGAAAAACGGAGACAAGAAGATGTTTTCTACCTTAAAATAACACAACAGTGCAATCATGTCTCGTAAAAGGGTTTTTCTTTTGTGCATTTTTCTGGCCATTTCTGCAGTTGTTGACGAAGCCGCGTCGTTCAGGAGTAAGCAAAAAAAAATAAAAAGAAAAAAAAGATAAGCAGAGAGGGACGGAATAGGGGAATGACACGTAGCCGTGATACACACATGTGCCATTGCGGGGGTCCTATGTAGCTGTCCAGGGCGTTCCACCCCCCAAAGCAGAAAAAATAAATAAAAAAAATCAATTCCCCCTTTCAGATCCAGACGTAGCAAGGAATGTCTCCTTCCTGGAATTCACAGCAGATGGTGACGCTGAAGAAGGACAGGCGGGGGATCAGTCGCAGGGGCAGCCAAGTGAACCCATTGTTAACACCCAGCCGTTGCAGGAAATTGTAAATGAAGCCCCTAACCCTTCCGACGAGTCAACTGGTGGAAGCGCTGAGAAAGGAACTGACCACGGCCAGGTGGAGCCAACACAGCGGGGAGGCGAGGAGGAGAAACCCCACGGAGGGGAACACGACAAAGGGAGCACCGTAAGCAACGTAAGCGACGGAAACGACGCAAGGGACGGAAGCAATACAAGCCTCGCAAGTATCGGAAGCGACGGAAGCAACACAAGCCTCGCAAGTATCGGAAGCGACGGAAACGACGGAAACGACGCAAGGGACGGAAGCAACACAAGCCTCGCAAGTATCGGAAGCGACGGAAGCAATGCAAGCCACGGAAGTAACGTAAGCGACGGAAGCAACACAAGCCTCGCAAGTATCGGAAGCGACGGAAGCAATGCAAGCCACGGAAGCAACACAAGCCTCGCAAGTATCGGAAGCGACGGA